AACGACGACAGGCTGCATGGACGGTCAATTCCGACCAAACGATTTTTACTTTGCTTTCCCTAAACCCGCATTTGCATGGAAAACATTGCCTTCATAGGCTCTGACTAATGAGAGGCACGAAGTAACGTGAATACCATTTTTCAACGGGTTTCCCCTTCTCCAGCCTCTCCGCTTTCTCTACGTGACTCACCAACGTTGGACTTAGGCCTAAGTGACAGCTTGTCTTCATGCCAGGTCAAGGCCTATCATGGCATGTCACGTTAGCCCGATCTCAAGCCCATTCCGACTTTCACGAACCATTTCAGTGCGGACGTGGGACGTTAAAATCTGGAATTCCTCGAACATCTCGTCTGAGGAGACGAATGCCTCAGAGAAGAAGGAAACGCTGGACGCCATCTTGTCTATTCAGGGATGTCCGGTGAGGATTTCTCCGTATCTGGCTGCTTCGATCAGCTTCTGCTTAATCACCCTTAAATAATTAATTAACAAATTAAGTGCTTAATTAATTGGTCTCGGCTCATCTCATGAACTCAGCACAAAAATGTTTCATTCGTAAAAAGAAGATCCTGGCACCGATACGAAGACTGACGCATTCATGAATCTGACGTAACTACGACACGATATCCGGCAACACTAGGAGACGGGATCGGAAGGCTATATTAACGACAGTTTTTTTTTTTTAAATGGCGAAATGGTGCGACGCAAACAACAAAATTGCCACTTTTAGTCATCCACAATTTTGCATCATTCTTTTGTTAGGGGAATGAAATTGAAATCTGGAAAGAGCGAGATTCAGCGTTCGCCACATCAACGGGAAGATGGAGCTTCAAATTTGCTGGAGCTGTTCTGTGTGAAGAAGCATGCCCAATTCGTTCTTGTTGATGGTCTTAGAAAGGAATTTACGGTTAATGAATTTAGCTAAGGGAAGGGTTAAATAATGGGAATATGTGATGCCGTGCCTATTGATGAAAAGAAGCAAATAAAAAAATAAAAAATAAAGAGATAAAGAGATACACGATACCAATTGGCCAGAAGGGCGCCGATGAAAGATGACTCGTGTTGCAGTGGCCGGGATGGATTTTTTTTGGAAAACTGCATGAAGGGGGCTCAATAACTTCTCGTAGCCTGACCTCGTGGAACTGATCGCTACTGTGCATGCGCCTTCCTTTTGACCACGAGGTTGGATGCGTGAAGCCTCCACCGCGGAAGTCGTTCGCCTCCGTAACGAGAGACATCTAGTTACATGCGTGTGCAGTAGCTCCTCGTGGACGTGACGTCACCGTGAGACTCCGCGCGTTTTCCCACGTGCGAAGTCAAGGGCGATGGCGTCCATTGTTGTGAGAGCACGTGGTCGCTCGGAAATGGAGGGAAAAACACGGGGTCCAGCCCATCCCATTCCGTCAGGATTTCCCACGATGACCCGAGGGGTTTTCTGACCGAGCTGCTATGAAGTAGGCGCCTTTGCAGTAATTTGCATTGAGTTTAGGTTAATGGGAGGCCCATCAGTGGCGTAGCCACGTTTTCGTTAATGGGGGGCTAACTTCCCGTCGGTGTGGGGCGGACGCATTTCGACCAGAGTTGGGGGGGCTTCAGCCCCCCCAGCCCCCTCCTCGCTACGCCACTGAGGCCTATGTGTTGCTTCGCACGACCATTCGAGGTCTAAAGTTTACGTGCAATATATCGGGTTAATTGTGCTGAGAAGCTAGACCTTCCAGTCACGGGTCATCGTTAAAAATTATTCAAATCATCAATTTGTCTTGCTTTGTTTATTATTTATTTATCCATAATCATGGGGAGTGAGAATGAATGTAAATGTGAGAAGTAAAGGTGTGGGCGTTAAACTCAGAGTACTTACTATGTGGAGCTGTAAACCATTGCATCCTGCAGCATATTGTATTCTATGTTTTGGAGACCTGGAGTTTAAAAGGGATCTGTTTATCTCTGAGAGTCCTGGGAGCTGGACTTCACTGGTGGGCAAATGAGCTAATCAATTGTCCTCAAGGCAGAATTTCAGGGGACCTCGTGAGACCCAGAGTCCAATCCAGCGGACATGGGATCTGGAATTCCATGTGGAAGTTGGGCACCATACATGGAGAGAGGAAACTCAAATTTATTTTTTGTTTTTTACCAGAGAATATTCAAAGTTGCTGGGAAAAGTAATTTTCATGTAAGGAAAATTTTGAATTAAAAAAATGTTTATTCATTCTGGCCAGATTAAGTCACATGATAAAAATGAAAACAAATTAAGTTCATTTTCATTCATTGCTGAAACAACTGGGTGGGTTACAGTTATTAGTGAAAAAATGCATCTAAGAGTAGGAACATGTTTCCTGTTTGAATAGTCTAATATATTGGAAAAGATTTAATGGATTTTCATCAGGTTTCTGTAGAATTCTCACAGATTTATGGTATTTCATTTTCACATGTCTTGTTTCAGTTTTATATGCAAACATTTTGATTAAAGTGAAGAAAGAACACTTTCCTCGTCATCATCAGTGTTTCACGTGGTTAAAGTTGAAGTGCTGCATCGATTGGGGGTTTGGAAATCTATTTTGTCTAAGAGTGCGTTCTCAATTCATTTTAGGGTTTCCCACGTCACAGGAAGATTTCATCTGCAGGTATTTTACCTATGAAGTTCTTTCAATGCCCTTTGAGGAAGCCTTGCTGCTATGATTATTCATGCTTGGCATGACACTCATCCTGGACCCTGCCTTCTTTGGCTGACCTTTGACCTCAAGAATCCTGTGCTTACTGTTCTTGCAACCTGCTTTCAGGTCTACCAATACTTATCTTTTTCAGATCAGGTAATCAGCCAAGAAGCCGCATCAGATCGATTGCAATTAGCTGCAGTCTCAATAATGTAGGGCCACTACCCATGAAGAGAACTTGATTCCCCTGCCCTCAGATCATTGTTTATAAGTTGTACCTTGTAACTGTCACCAAAAAGTTGGGTGAGAGGTCCTGCCTGGCCCCCTTCTGGAAGGGCTGAAACTCCTGATCTGTTCCTCCAGGAATGATGAAACTTGCACTGTTCTCTTTGATGAGATCCTTAAGGAGTCAGTATGTATTTGTTTGGAAGCCTAACTTTACGTGTAACAGTGTATCTTTTCTTGCCAAAGAATAATGAAATCGGTTCGATATACTTCACGGAAGATGCGAATCGTGGAGGGTTTAGGCCTCGATGCAGACGGGTTCGGGAAAATCCAGCTGAAAAAGAAATCGATGGAAAGGTCCACCGATGGCTGACGCGATCTTTCTGGTACGAATGCCGAAGAACCATCGGCAGACGGCGGAAACGCCGCGAGTAGAAAACGAGAAGGATTTCGATACGCGACAGAGGGACGGGATTTTCAAGAGCGAAGGGACAAAAAAAAACCGTCTCTCTTTTTCCAGTCGCATAAAAAACCGGATCTTGACGACGAAATGGAAGGGGAGAAGGAGAAAGAAGGCGGTGTAAAAAAAAATATTCGTGCGTCCTGTCGTCTGCTCGCCGGAAAAAAAAAACCCGAGCCGAACGAGAAAAAAGTGGGAATGCCAAGAGAGGCGATCGATGTCTGAATCGTGGATTCCGTCGCGTCGTGTAGGATCGTGTTATGTATAACGGATGCGGGAGGTTCACCGCGAAGACGGTGAAGACCGTCGCGGGTCAGAGGGAAGGAGACTCGTTCACGTGCATGCAGTAGGGGAGAAACCTCGGTCGTCCCTGATGGGTCCACGTTGAAGAATCGTCACGTTTCCCCTCGTTCTTGAGAGATTCGCGCTCGAAGGTGGAAATGTACTATAAACGAGCGCACATACACGCACGCTCACTCGACTTTCACTTTCGAGCGGATTTTCAAGTTCTAGGCGAATGAGAAGGGAAATATGGTAAAAACTCATGCGCGGATTTCTGGACGCGTCTTTCGCGACGGATCGGGAATAGGAAAGGGGAAGGAAAAGGAGATTTTCGTAAAAGACGTTCCTGCGAACGGAACTCGTGATGGCACGATCGAGGATTTCGCGTCGCGTTGCGATGGGGTTGGCGTACCTCGTGTCGTACCTCATGATCAGCTTTCTCATCGTCAATATGTACGTCGCTGTGATCTTGGAGAACTACAGTCAGGCGACGGAGGACGGACGATTACGATATGTACTACGAGATCTGGCAGCAGTTCGACCCGAAGGGGACTCGGTACATCCAGTACTCGTGCTCGTCGCAGTTCTTGGACACCCTGGAACCGCCGCTGCAGATCCACGAGCCGAACGAGTACAAAATCGTGTCCGTGTGTTCAAAATCCCGATCTGCAAGGGGGACTTGGTGGGCTCAATAACTTCTCGTAGCCTGACCTCGTGGAACTGATCGCTACTGTGCATGCGCCTTCCTTTTGACCGCGAGGTTGGATGCGTGAAGCCTCCACCGCGGAAGTCGTTCGCCTCCGTAACGAGAGACATCTAGTTACATGCGTGTGTAGTAGCTCCTCGTGGACGTGACGTCACCGTGAGACTCCGCGCGTTTTCCCACGTGCGAAGTCAAGGGCGATGGCGTCCATTGTTGTGAGAGCACGTGGCCGCTCGGAAATGGAGGGAAAAGCACGGGGTCCAGGCCATCCCATTCCGCCAGGATTTCCCACGATGACCTGAGGGGTTTTCTGACCGAGCTGCTATGAAGTAGGCGCCTTTGCAGTAATTTGCATTGAGTTTAGGCTAATGGGAGGCCCATCAGTGGCGTAGCCACGTTTTCGTTAATGGGGGGGGTAAGCGGAACGTCGGGGTGGGGCGGACGCATTTCGACCAGAGTTGGGGGGGCTGAAGCCCCCCCAGCCCCCTCCTCGCTACGCCACTGAGGCCTATGTGTTGCTTCGCACGACCATTCGAGGCCTAAAGTTTACGTGCAATATATCGGGTTAATTGTGCTGGGAAGCTAGACCTTCCAGTCACGGGTCATCGTTAAAAATTATTCAAATCATCAATTTGTCTTGCTTTGTTTATTATTTATTTATCCGTAATCATGGGGAGTGAGAATGAATGTAAATGTGAGAAGTAAAGGTGTGGGCATTAAATTCAGAGTACTTATTATGTGGAGTTGTAAACCATTGCATCCTGCAGCATATTGTATTCTATGTTTTGGAGACCTGGGGTTTAAAAGAGATCTGTTTATCTCTGAGAGTCCTGAGAGCTGGACTTCGCTGGTGGGCAAATGAGCTAATCAGTTGTCCTCAAGGCAGAATTTCAGGGGACCTCATGAGACCCAGAGTCCAATCCAGTGGACATGGGATCTGGAATTCCATGTGGAAGTTGGGCACCATACATGGAGAGAGGAAACTCAAATTTATTTTTTTTTTTTACCAGAGAATATTCAAATTTGCTGGGAAAAGTAATTTTCATGTAAGGAAAATTTTGAACTAAAAAAATGTTTATTCATTCTGGCCAGATTAAGTCACATGATAAAAATTGAAACAAATTAAGTTCATTTTCATTCATTGCTGAAACAACTGAGTGGGTTACAGTTATTAGTGAAAAAATGCATCTAAGAGTAGGAACATGTTTCCTGTTTGAATAGTCTAATATATTGGAAAAGTTTTAATGGATTTTCAGCAGGTTTCTGTAGAATTCTCACAGATTTGTGGTATTTCATTTTAACATGTCTTGTTTCAGTTTTATATGCAAACATTTTGATTAAAGTGAAGAAAAAACACTCTCCTCGTCATCATCGGTGTTTCACGTGGTTAAAATTGAAGTGCTGCATCGATTGGGGGTTTGGAAATCTATTTTGTCTGAGAGTGCATTCTCGATTCATTTTAGGGTTTCCCATGTCACAGGAAGATTTCATCTGCAGGTATTTTACCTATGACCTTTGACCTTCTTTGGCTGACCTTTGACCTCAAGAATCCTGTGCTTTCTGTTCTTGCAACCTGCTTTCAGGTTTATCAGTACTTACTTTTTTCAGATGAGGTAATCAGCCAAGAAGCCAGCATCAGATCGATTGCAATTAGCTGCAGTCTCAATAATGTAGGTCCACTACACATGAAGAGAACTTGATTCCCCTGCCCTCAGATCATTGTTTATAAGTTGTACCTTGTAACTGTCACCAAAAAGTTGGGTGAGAGGTCCTGCCTGGCCCCCTTCTGGAAGGGCTGAAACTCTTGATCTGTTCCTCCAGGAATGATGAAACTTGCACTGTTCTCTTTGATGAGATCCTTAAGGAGTCAGTATGTATTTGTTTGGAAGCCTAACTTTACGTGTAACAGTGTATCTTTTCTTGCCAAAGAATATGATCTGTTCCTCCAGGAATGATGATACTTGCACTGTTCTCTTTGATGAGATCCTTAAGGAGTCAGTATGTATTTGTTTGGAAGCCTAACTTTACATGTAACAGTGTATCTTTTCTTGCCAAAGAATTTGATATGTGTATATAGCAATCATAGTTTTTTGGCCTGATAAAGTTATGATCGATGACACGAGGACCAGATGATTTACAAATGGTCACATTCCTGGTGAGTGATGAGAATCTTTGTATTGAACAAAGGCTGCATGTGCATTGAGTCCCTGTAATCAGCCTAGAGGCAGTGCAGTCATGGTCAGTACATGCCTCTCTCGTGCCTATTTTACTCGAGGGAGTGTGACTGGAGGTTGCTTTCCATCCTCATAACTTAGACCATGATCATATTGAAAGGCAGAGTTGAAGGAATGTCTGTGCGGTGCGAAAAAAAGGTCAAAGGGGCTTAGCAGAGAAACTAGGATTGCAGCAAAAATTTTCTCTCTCCTTTGAGGAAGGCAAAAGGACTCTGCCCAGTTTATTGGTTCACATATCTGTAAATCATGAAATCAAAAATGGAAAACGCTCCTGATGCACACTAGTGCTAATACTGAGACATTGTTTTGGGCAAACTCAAGGGCAAACTCCTTCCCCACAGAGGTCCAGGGAACCAAGGTCATTCTTTATATTCCTTTGCTAGATATGCAATGCAAAGCCATCATCCAGGAGAGTAGATTCTTTTCTGTGCAAAAAGCTTTATACCTCTATCTAGGCTCTCTGTTCCATTTGGATTGTCATTTACTACTATCAATGTTAGTATACCCTATTAGTTTTGTATACAAGTCAATATTTGGCATCACATTCAACCTGATTTTTCTTTGTCTCCACTGGCTTTTGTTCTGATGTTTAGATCCACATAGTATTTTATCAAATAGATTCACAAAATTGATTTAACAGTCTGGAGTGGGCACTGGCCTTATTTTTAGGATCATATAAGTTTTGCCTTCACAACACCATTAGCAACCCACCTGGCTAATGTGGAGAGGTTTCTGCTGTGAAGACCCATGCCTGTAGTCTGTTTGAGAGTCATTATATTATTGTCTCTTAATATTTTTTTAGCCAAATGAAGCCAAGGATGTTGGTTTATGTTTTTTTCTTCCTTCTGGACTCAAGTGAATATGTTGGTGTGAAGAAGGACTAATGAAGGCCTCAGTCAATAGGACATTTACAACATTATTAGTGTTGGGTTATTTAGACTAATACCAAAACTGCTCATGGCTGTTCCAGTTGGCAGCCAGAAGCATGCATTGTATCTGACTGAGCACAGAGAGGATGATTGATTATTTGCATGATGTGGACTGGGTGGACTGTGCCTGCTGCTGGCTTGCAGCCTCCTTGAGTTTAGAGGGGCCAAGTGAGCTGTGGAGATGGACCACTCTTCCTGACCTATGTAGTCTCTGCATCTGCATAGGACATTTGAACACCCTTTCTTAGGCATTTTGATTCTTCCTCCGTATGAGCTACGTGCAATCTTGTGACTTGCCATGATTTACTTCCATGTTCATTTAGGTCTTCTGGACATGCTGTCAATGTTTTCTGTCCTGAATTGATTCTTGACTTGCCCTCAGCTATGAGTTGATTTCCCTGAATCCACTGGGAAAATTCCTGCATGGAATGTGGAATGTGAAGTTGCATGTGTAGGGACAAGGAATGTGGGCAATGGGGTATAAGGTATAATAAGGTATCCTGGTATATCACAATTAGGACTATCCATTGGCAACCACCAAGCACCTGCAGGACTTCACCTTGACAAGGACCCTTCAAGGAATTTATGATTCAATAATTTTTTTCTTAAGATGCTGACTTCCCATCTCTTCAAGACATATTCCATGGTCATTATTATCTTCAAAGCCTGGAAACCATATGTTGCCTGGGAACCTTCTTTGGTCAAATGAGAGCAGCATGGAAGCTCAACACACATCCCACTCACATTTAGACCTTGGTCTTGAATCATGCCCACAAGCAATGTCATCTACCTGGGGCATGCCTCTATTCATGGAGTTATGACTTTCAGTCTGGGATCTGTCTGAGAGATTTTCATCATAATGTTACTGCTATTCAGGGAATTAAGGTAGTATAGTATGCTTTCAGTCACAAGTGGCAATAAGTTTGCTTGAAACCGAGGACATTCATTCATTCCTGTGCTGAATAGAATTGCAAAAGTCAAATCTTGTGAGCTATGTCCTAATCACTAAGAAAAAGGAACCATAATTGGAAATGGTCATTTTATTATTAATCAACATTTAATTATCATTTTATTATTATTGTTATTTAGTACTATTCTGTATATAATGTGTATTACATCATTGAAGACAGCAGTTCACTCACAATACTTCATCAAATATTTTCACCATCCATATGCACATAACTACAATGTACATAATTTATTGTCTGTACATCCCATCTACAATGAGGCTTCCTACATCATATCATGAACTCTACTGCTTAGTAACTTCCTAATCACCTTGCAGCTTCATGTTTGAGTTCCTTGCTTTGTATATACTCTATAACCCATGATGGCATATTTAGTATATATGCTTAGTCATTATTTTGTTGTTTTCCATCAGCATACTGTTCATGATGTGACCTGTTTTCCTCTTGGAAGGTATTCCTTATCCATCTGATTGATCACTTGTTTCCATCCAGGGCCCAGCAAGGATCAGGAGGAGAAATTGGAGCCACTGCTTTGCCTGTCCTTGGATCCTCTGGGTCTTATGGGGAGAGCCTGCTGGGAGAGGCCCATGACACCCTGGCTGGAGGCACCAAGACCAGTGTGGGGCTGACCATCTCAGCCAGCCACTGCTTCATGCAGGTCTGTTCCATTGTGGGCTGTCAGGTGTCCTCCACCTGTACCACTCTACTGCTGCCTAGCTTGCTGCTGCTCAGCTCTGGTCCCTCGTGGTCAGACTTCCATGAATCACCACTGTATTTGTCCAACAGGTCTGTTCCATTGTGGGCTGTCAGGTGTCCTCCACCTGTACCACTCTACTGCTGCCTAGCTTGTTGCTGCTCAGCTCTGGTCCCTCGTGGTCAGAGTTCCATGAATCACCACTGTGTTTGTCCATCAACTTCTATTCCATCTTATGTATTTATACTGGGAATTTTTCATTATGGTTCATTTGTACTTTCTTTTCAGCATAAGGTCTTATTAATCACTTTGAAACTTTTTAGGTGAGGGTTATGTGACATGTAACTGAATTTCCAATCCTGTCATGGTTTGAATTTTCAAACCCTGTATGAGGTCAAACTCTGTTTTGATATTTTTAACATTTAGCCAGTATATATTTCAGTTTTATGCAAATCATAGCTGGCAAACAAGATCAATAAGCATATTGCACTGAGGTGTTTAACATGTTGACCGCCACGGAAATGCGGGCCTATTGATTTTCCCATTCAGTGAGGTGTACTGGTGCACCTCATGGCGGTCAACCTGTTAAAGTATTTTCAATGTTATATGTAATATTGTGCAGTTATCTGATGGTGAAAAATCATGATACTATTGCTTGTAAACCAATTCCTCCAATTTGTTGAAAAGTCATTAATCAATTCTGACAGAGTTGGAATTCACTGCTTGCGATCGATTCTTACACCATAAAATCCATGTGAAGTTCGGTGACCCTCATGTTTGGACAACATTTTGTATTGGATTAAATTCCTCATTGTCTGAGCAAAATTTGCTCCACCCATCTATTATCAGCATATGTTGAATTACCTCTCCAGTAACTTGCAGAATAATTGGATTCTCAGGTACAACTACTTGTCCATGTGGGGAGTTTCATGGGGATATCTTTAATCAAACCAGATTCTGGAGGGGAATCAGCAGAGTGAGGTTCTCCTTTGCCCCTGGACTTAAGAAGGTCCAGGGTCCCATGTGGAATTATCAGTCTCATTCTGCAATGGGCAGATTTTGAGTCAGTTGAATAGCATTTGAAATGCAACTGAACATATTTAAGTTTTACTCAAAAGATTGACTTTGTTAGATGTTAGAATGGTATTTAATTTGAGAGTTCAATTGATTCAAAAATTTTACAAAGTGCATATAACCTGCATGTTTGGTTTCAATTGCATTAATATTTTGCAGTCACTTTCTATGCAAGATGTGCCATAAAAATAAGCACTTGTCCAAGAGTCTTAAATCTTGCTTGGCTTTCATCCTATCCACTTCTCCTCAGATAGAAAAGCCTATTTTGGTATTGTCAACAAATTTGCTGATACAAATTTCCTCTAGGCCTTGATCTAAGTTGTTGATAAAGACCAGAAAAAGATGTGGTCCTTGAACGAAGTCATGAGGGACAATGCTTGTGACCTTGACTACCATTGACCCTTCCCCATTTACCATCACTCGCTGCTTTATTCATGAATATATGTCGTATACAATGCATGATATATCTATTATGCATATAAATATTTAGTATGTTACTATCATTCTTAAATATGCTTTGGAACTGCTCCCATGCTCAAAGTTTGGTTCATAGCCCAGACCAAATTAATTAGTATAAATTATTTAATTAGTTGTTAGTCTGCCCAAATTGTCTTTGAAGTTAAGCATTAAAAATGCAAATTCTGTGGATATCCTATATCAAGAAATTAATTCCAAAAGCATCTAATTGAATTGTGAGCTTTTGGCGACTGATACTAAAACAGCTGCTGGGACTTGATACCATCCCAATGTAAAATCCCAACTGGAATATTCCAGCTTGACCAAATCAGTAAATTTGGACCATTTCCAGCTGCCAAAGAGCTGGAAAATAGTAGGTACTGGTTGTTTTATTGCTGGAATTTCTCAGCTGGAATTCTGCTGGTTTTAATAACTGTTTCCAGCTGGAAATTTCCAGTTAGAATTTGCTATTGAGGACTGAACAGTTGGAATACATCTAAATTTCCAGCTGGGATTTTAAGTGTGGATATTACAAAAGCAGATTTTGCCATTAGATACTTAAAATATATATATAAGAAAGCAGACATAATCCAAATAGACATTGGGAGAAGAGTGACAAGTAAAAAGTGTAACCTCTGAAGAATATAATGCAGCAGTTGTACTGCTAGAGCTAGAGTGTAACTTTGATCATGTAGTAGCCTTCATTACAAGGCTGGAAAATCTTGTAAAGTAAGAATCATTATGGATGAATGGAAAGTTTGGCTGAATTCAGATGCCAAATATATTGAATAAAAACACTATGGATCTATGGCTTGGTGCCTTTTAATGATTAGGCCCTACCAATAGGCAGATTTCAATGCCAAGGAGCATGCCTAAGACACATGACTTTTTTTTTAATGTCTACTAACATCATTGTCATTAATAGTTAGATCGAAAGTAATGCATGAAAAAGTTGATCCAATTAGTCAAAAGGTTCAGAGTTGAGTCAGAGGCTAACCATATTCTCTGGCATACTCTTCTGCATTTATTTTTAGAGTCTCTTGGTATCATCCAGGAAATAACAACTGCAGTGGGGTGAACCCTTCATTCCCATGAGATGATACAAACTTTTTCTTGAACAATTTCATTGCTCACCAAGGGAAAGGTGTTACTGCAGTGGCAATAAAGACAATCTATGAATTTCATTGAACTTCAGTTGTGGGGACCTCATTTGTTTTAAGTATGTGCCAAATGGCTCACCTGATGCCAATTAATTTCATATAGCTTTTTTACCTATTGCTTTTGATCTCGTGCACTAATTGGGTTTAACCCATAGGCATTTCTTTGAATAGTTGAGATATATCTAATGGCACTCATGATGTCAGTGGATGTGATGGGACACTTTCATCCTCTGTTGCCAAGTTATGAGGTGATTCTTTTAGTACTGGTGCTGGAGTTTTGAGTAATGAAGTCCATGATTGCAAATGGTCATATGGTTTCTACGGAGCTCATAGAGCATGGTGTTGATGCTGAAGGTGGAGCTTAGCTTCAATTGAACTAGAGCTTAAGTTTTCTCTTAGCAGCATTTGAGTGAAGAACACTGCATTTAAATATAGAACCTGTACTTAGATAATGTGGTACCATAAGAACAGATGTGAGCATTGCATACCATATATTAACAATTTTACTGACTGTTGATTTAATTGACTGTCATTAAAAGGGTAGAAATTATACATTTTGTTTTTGTGCTGTTGTGTGTAGATGTCACATATTTTCATGTGGGTTGGGAAATGGCAGCTCGTCCAGAACATAGGATTTAAAATGTTGGATCTTGTATATAAAGGCATGGTTCAGTTATTTGAGTTACTGCAGAGCTTACTCCCAGAGAACTCCCACTCCTAGCCTTTCTTATGAACACAAGGACAAGTTCTTGGCTGTTCTCATTGCCCCACATCTACTTGGGTATGGTTTCCTCCCATGGCTCAAAATTTGTTTGAATTTAATTTCAGGGCATGAGGAGGAAGGTTTATTGTGTTCTAGGATGTTTCCCACCTCCTATGATGCCTTGATGACTACTTCATGCAAGAATCTCTTGTATTCCTCAGCAGAACAAACCCCTGCCCTTGCTTTTTCCATTTAATCTTTGACTACCTCTGACCAGAATCATGATTCAAATGTTCTTCAGAAAGATTGACTGGATACTTTGTGCAGTGCATAGAGAGTGTCTGAGATTTTATCTAATATTACCTAAATCTGATTTTAAGATCTGTAAGATAGCATACATTAGAGCAGTAATACTGTTGGTGACCTATGAACTCCTTGCATGTGACCAGCTATGAGCAAATGTGCTTCTCAGTAAAAAGGAATATTTATTATTATAAAAAGGAGTACATGCATTTTTTTTTAGTATCGCAGAATAAGCTTGACAAGCCCAGCAATGATACAAATGAGGATTGGCAACAGAATCCATTGAGTTCAAAGAAGACTGTGTGAGGTCATTAAAAGATACTGATGTTTGTCAGATTTGGAGTCTAATATTCGCGAATATCGGACATCTAGGTAATCGGGCTATTCTCTGCGATTCAGTGCTCATCGTACCACGTTTCAAAATCGCAGCTGTAATAAATTGCTTTCGTCTTCATTGCAACTTTGTAGAAAATGTAATTCTTGGTCTTCTGTTCGCGAATGGCGGGCGTCACGGAGATCATCCCTATCGCCTCGATTCAGCGCTCATCCCACTACGTTGCACAATCAGTGCTGTTTGGCGTTTATTTTGTCTACATTGAGACATTAAAAAGTTTGTCAGACTTGGTCTTGTGTTCGCGAATGGCGTGCGTTTTGGAAATCATTCGTATTGCCTCGATTCAGCGCTCATCGCACTACGTTGCACAATGGGTGCTGTTTGGAGTTGATGCCGTGAAACGTCGCGTCATTAGTTTGTCAGACTTGGTCTTGTCCCCGCGAATTCCATACATTTTGGAAATCATTCGTATCGCCTCGATTCAGACTACATCGTACTACGTTTCACAATCGGTGCTGTTTGGAATTGATGCCGCTAACGTTGAATCATTAGAGACTTTCTCAGATTATATATATATGTATAAGTTAACAGGACAAATGAAAACTTGCCTGATGCTTCATCATCGCGTTACGCATAGAATGCGATGCTGGGACTCTATTCCGTTGGTTTCATCAAAATTGCAGCATTGTAGAATTCGTCAGACTTGCTCATATGTTCGCGAATGGCGGGCGTCTCTGAAATACGTCGTATCTCTGCGATTTAGTGCTCAGCGTACTGAGTTTCACCATCGGCTATCTTTGGAGTTGCTTTTGTCTCCATTACAACATTAGAAAGTTTGTCAGACTAGGTCATGTGTTCGCGAATGGCGGGCGTCTATGAAATACGTCATATCACTGCGATTCATTGCTCAGCGTACTCAGTTTTACAATCCGCGCTCTATGCAGTTGGTTTCGTCAACATTGCTGCATTTTTTATTTCGTCAGACTTGGTCATGTATTCGCGAATGGCGGGCGTCCCTGAAATACGTCGTATCCCTACAATTCAGTGTTCATCCCACTGCGGATCAGAATCGCTTCCATATGAAGTTGGTTTCGTCCACTTGCCTACATTAGAAAGTTTCTCAGACTTGGTCATGTGTTCGCGTATTGCGGGCGTCTCTGAAATACATGGTATCTCTGCGATTCATTGCTCAGCGTACTCAATTTTACAATCGGCGCTCTATGGAGTTTCTTTTACCTCCATTGCAACATTAGAAAGTTTGGCTGACTTGGTCATGTGTTCGCGAATGGCTTGCGTCTCTGAAGTACGTCGTATCTCTGCGAATCAGTGTTCATCCCACTGCGTTTCACAATCGCATCTATATTGAGTTGGTTTCGTCCACATTCCAACAATACGAAGTTCGGCAGACTTTGTCATGTGTTTGCGAATTGCGGGCGTCTTTGAAATACGTCGTATCTCTGCGATTCAGTGCTAATCGTACTCAGTTTTACAATCGGCGCTCTATGGAGTTTCTTTCATCTCCATTGCAACATTAGAAAGTTTGTCAGACTTGGTCATGTGTTCGCGAATGGTGGGCGTCTCTGAAATACGTCGTATCTCCGCGTTTCTTGTTCCTATCACTGCGTTTCACAATCGGTGCTCTATGCAGTTGGTTTCGTCAACATTGCAGCATTTTTGAATTTGTCAGACTTGGTCATGTGTTCGCGAATGGCGGGAGTCTATGAAATACGTCGTATCTCTGCGATTCAGTGTTCATCCCATTGTGCTTTACAATCACTTCTATATGAAGTTGGTTCCGTATTCATTCCAACATTACGAAGTTGGACAGACTTGGTCATTTGTTCTCGAATGGAGGGCGATTCTGAAATATGTCGTATCTCTGCGATTCAGTGCTAATCGTACTCAGTTTCTCAATCCGGACTCTCTGCAGTTGGTTTCGTCAACATTGCAGCATTGCAAAATTTGTCAGACTTTGTTATGTGTTCGCGATTGGCGGGCGTCTCTGAAATACGTCGTATCTCTGCGATTCAGCGTTCATCCCTCTGTGGTTCTCAATCGCTTCTATATTAAGTTTGTTTCATACACATTCCAACATTACGAAGTTCGGCAGACTTTGTCATGTGTTCGCGAATTGCGGGCGTCTCTTAATTACGTCGTATCTGCGATTTAGTGCTTTGCGTACTGAGTTTCACAATCGGCTCTCCATGGAGTTACTTTTGTCTCCATTGCAACATTTTGAAATTCATCAGACTTGGTTTTGTATTCGCGAATGGCGTGCGTCTCTGAAGTTGGTCGTATCTCAGCAATACAGTGTTCATAGCACTACGTTTAGCGTTGTATGTTGAGATGAAAAGGAAATCGATGCAGTTTGGACTGTAATAAATGTAGACGGGTTTCAATTGTAATATAGTTAAACGATCTAGATACGATATGACCCACTCGAATTTCGCGAAGGAAGTGAAATGGGACAGATAGAAATTTTTTTTTCTTACTAATCCCTGATTGCTTCTCTGAACGAGTTTGATTGTATCAATGAAATCGGGCGGGAAATGGAAATTCTGTATAGTGGTAATTAGGCATTCATGATTAAGAACTTCAAATGCATCATGTTGGTTAATATATATTCGTGCCAGTGGTAAATTTTCTTTGTTTGCATAGCAAATTGTTTCTATCAAGATATTCACGTTGTCATAGATTGTGCGGTTGGGAATGGAATAAGTTTGATCATGTTGCACTTTGGAACTAATGATTTTCTGTTAGGGGTTGGTAAGATCTTTGGTAAAGATCAGTGTTTATTAAAGATAGATGCCTCCATTTTCCTGTCAGCCTGGTTTAGGAAGGAGCGTGAGGCTTCCTTTCCTTATTGAGTATGGAAACTCTGTGATCGAAACAAATTTATAAAATCCGTAGGACAGTCCATCAAGCTCTAGGCTTTGATGTTTTGAGAGTGATTTCGCCGCGTCATCAAACTCAGAAAGTGTGAAATTGGAAGCGAGGAAATCATTTTCAAATTCGAATTAGATTGGAATCCTATCAAAATGACTCGGAGAAATAAAAGTTTTTCATAGGGAGCGATAAAAGGAAGAAATTTTTTGCTAAATTGATTTGGCGTCCGTTTTCCAGTCTCATTGTTACGAATTGTTGTCAATGTTGTTGTCTGACAGCTTTTCTACTCTCAAGGGAAAAGAAAAAGTTTGTTGGGGCATCAAGTAAGTTCAAAGTGGTGTGCTTGGAGCGAACCATGACTCCTTCCGCTGCGTATTGATGAAAATGTGTAAGAAGGTCTTTTTTATCTTGAAGGGTTGAGTTTGTTGGGTCATGTTGTTCAGAAATTAGTGTCTGACGATGAAGGACGCGACAGACTTGAAAAGAGAAGTATGTCTGTGTGAATATTTTAAAGGATGCTTTGGTATTTTCCCACCACGTTAGCAGAGGTTGTGTGGTCTTTGTAAGGACAAGTTGTGTCCGGCGAGATCTAAAGGAAGTGCAAAATTCAGGATCTAAAAGAAGAGAATCATTAAAATGCAAATAAGCAGGGCCTTAAAACTCTGAACCGGGGAGGAAAGTGATATTGACACTGTGCAATGGTTAGATAGAACTGTTGTGGACTGAATGCTTACTGTTGTAAGCTGAGAAAAATGTTGCAGTTTACATAAAAGCGATCTAAGCGTGACTTTGGTCTGTGGGCGTGAGGTCCAGTGTAAGTAAAAGTGCGTTCATCTGGGTAAAACTCTCGCCAGGCATCAGATAAAACATGTGAATGAATAAGTTCTAATAATCTTTTTTCTAGGCACGACGATGTTCAGTAATTGTACTTTCATCAAGAAGAGGAGAAAGAGTGTAGTTGAAATCACAACCAAATATCACAAGGGCATTAGTTGGCATAGACAAGAGATCTCTTTCAAGAGTATCTAAAACAGAAAAGGCGGTATCATCAGCCTGAGGCATGTAAAGATTGAAACAAACCAGGAAGGAATCGTTTCATTTAAAATCAAGTCGAATAAGATTTCCAAGGTAAAGGTTCGTAAAAGAAGAAAGGATTAAATTAGAGGTACGTTTAAAAGCTATCATACCACCGGAACTTTGGAAGCCGCGCGAACTGGCTATGGCATCTGGATTCCAAGTGTCAAAGACTAATTTTCTGGATGTAGAAAAATATGTCTCTTGAAAAAAAAATATCAAAAGGGAAATTTTCCAAATATGTGAACATTTGAAACTGCCTTTCCATGGTACTAAAACCATGATAAAATATTCATTCATAAATATAAGCAAGGGAGAAAGCAAGCAAAAGAAGAGAGATGAAAAAATGAAAGAACTTTTCAGGGAGGAATGATTCCGTCCTATATCACATTCATTACAACTGCAGTCTTTCATTCTGTAGTTAGGGTCTACCTCAGAAATTTCAGCGAGTTCATACACCTGCACGCTTCGGTTTTTCAACCATCGAAGTGAGTCGCTTACTGAGTTTTTCATTAGTGGTGACTTAAATGAATTGAATGAGGATTCCTGCCAAGACATGGATATTGTCAGTGTATTGAGAGCAATAGGCATTGGTTTTTGCTTGAACTTGGCTTCATTGAGGAAATTCAGGGAGTCAGTGGATGTGAAAGTGGAATCACTAGTGTCAAGTTGAGTGAGGACTTCTTTCTGTACAGCAGCAGTGAGATCTTTGAGAGGAAGGGGTGGAGAATTTAATGGCGAGGGAGTTTCCTGTGATTTTGATTGTGAAAATGCATATTGGGGTTTCTTCTTTGTTTCAATGTCATTGAGGGATGAAAATGAGGAAGCGCGTTTCATATGTGTGGACTTGGAAGGTATACTGGAAAGAGCTGGCCAGTCTGTATCAAGGTGTGCTCTGGATGTGTGTGAAGCAGAAACCGTGGGACATGAGTATTGACGTTGTAGGAGGTTCCTTTTTCGAAGTATTTTCCGACTCAATGATGGATGATGATGATGCATGTGTCCGTGTGCA